AAGGACGTAAAAAACTTAAATTTATTCTTAAAAAAAACAGAATTGTACAATTTAATTTAATCTAGAAAATCTGAAAATGTATACTTAAAATACTAAAAATGTAACAAAAAAAAATTTATTTTACTAATAGCCTAGTTGTCGATGTACTTTGATCAATAAAAAAAAAATAAAATAATAATGTTCACTGAAACCAATGAGGATGCAGGAAAAAAAATAAACATATTCTTTTTGTATGGATCCCGGGGCACATAGGCATTTCCGGAAATGGCTGACCAAGAAGCTTATAATGCAATCGTCTCTACACCAACTCCAACCATAAATTCCATCACATTCGCAGATGTAAAGAACGAAATAAACCTATACTCAAATAATAAATTGCTCTCTCACTGGCGTAAACTTAACACCAAACTCAACAAAATAAAAAATAATATAAACCCATGGAAAAATCCTGAACTCAATAGAAAAGATGAAACCATAATAAACCGACTCCGAATTGGTTACACACACTTAACACACAGCTACTTGGTGAGTATAGACGATCCTCCACTATGTGAGTCATGCAGCATACTTTTAACCGTCAACCATATTATCACTGAATGTCAAAAATACAACCAGTATCGAAATCAATTTCACATATCCGAACAAATCTGTCAAGCACTTGGACCAAACCCAAAGGATGTAAAAAACTTAAATTTATTCTTAAAAAAACAGAATTGTACAATTTAATTTAATCTAGAAAATCTGAAAATGTATACTTAAAATACTAAAAATGTAACAAAAAAAAAAATTTATTTTACTAATAGCCTAGTTGTCGATGTACGTTGATCAATAAAAAAAAAATAAAATAATAATGTTCACTTTTAGTTTTAAACTGACAGAGCTTACACCTGTTCTACAGAGCGTAAAAATTTTTATGTTACACACTTGTAAGACAGAGACAACACCGTGCAGATATAACGTCCTCTTAATATGTAAATTAAGACATTATTTTAATATAATAATTGATTAGCAATTAGCAAAGATGAATAATATAATATAGTTAGTATACCTAKTAAGTTATTTGTTTTTGCTACTACAATATATTGTAAAGCGAAAGTGTTTTTATTTTTTACCTTGGTYCTATGATTTATTATTAAAAGGTCACGAATATAATGGCTTTTTTACAGTCAATTCCAACTTAACAACAAGTATTATTATTGCAAGTTTACTGAAGAATTAATGATTAGTTTAACATGTATTGTTTTTATTTTTAATGTTTAGCTGAAAATTATAATATAGGTAAGAGTGACGGAAGAATTRTGTTAATATATTTATGTTAAACGTGCAAATAGTCAATACTAAATTACAAAATACATAGTGATTGAACTAAGCAGAAGTCTACGTCGTGTTTTTAACTTAAGCAAATAAATTACAACAATCATTACCTCATACCTATACAATCTCATATTTATTTATCAAGCAATTTCTGTTTTTGAAGTTTGAATACAATCAGATATTGAGGGAGTGACTTTTTTTAAATTTATTTTAAAACTATTTGTTTATTTGTAATGTGATTTGTCGAATGTCGCTGATAACGGATCTCGTGTGTGTATTTAATATAAACTACATAGTATACTTGCATATTTTATTAATCAAATACTATTGTTGGTAATTTTAGAAATTTAGGTATTGACTATGTTTATTTGTAAAACATATCATGCTTATTTGATGTTAAAAAATGTTTGTTTACTAAAGCCTCATAATTTTCAATTTACAACCAATTTCATAGGYGTGTCACACTTAATGTTCAATGTATCTGTGGGTATTGTGCTGTTTCACAAAGTATTAACTATTTTGCTAAAGTAATATTATATGCCGAGTGATTCATACCTCCTATTAACCTTTAGTAATGCATTTTTTAACTTTGGTTTTTTAAATTTTACAAAACTTTGAAATGCTATATATATATCTTCAAATATATATATATATTTTTAGCAATTTGTGTTCTTGGGTGTAACAAACTTATTTTTAAATATTGAGAACCTTTTTTCTATTATAAATTGTTATGACTTTTTTTTAAATTTTGATGGAWATTGGAACGAGCMGCTTCTAAATTATTAATATTTATGACTGTCCTATATAAGTATAATAAAACTCGATAATATTTAAACATTGTTAGCACGTTTTATTACTTGAGAGATTTTATAAATTTACAATTTTACAATTTATAAAAATKTATTAATATCATTTTCACCTCAGTATAAAATCCATATCTTCTAAACCTACTATCATAAACTATTATTTTTAGTAAATAAAGGCAAATGCCTAAAATGTATTTGTTCAATTATTTTAGATATAAAACCATCTTAAAAAAAACGCACGCTTATCAATCGACAAAACAAAAAATGTGGTTTTCTTTTGAAAAAAAATTGGCCAGAAGCAGGAAAAAATTTTTTTAAATTTAAATTGTTTTCGATTAAACCACTTTTAAGAAGCTGTGTTGAAGCAGTTTTAATTAAATATCAAGTGTRTTTACGTCAAATGTATCATAAATATCCCTGTAGTTAAATTACTTTCATTTAGTATAATCTATATAAAAGGTTATTAAATGTAGATTTTTACTATATATTTGTACCACGTTTAATTTGCTAATTGTATATAATAATTAGATCATATCATGAGACTTATAAAGCTTTAAGTTTTTATTATAGTTTATTAAAGTTTTTATATTTTGCATAGAAAATAGGTTTAAGTTATTTTTATAACTTATTTGTTAATGAGAAGTAAATAAATAATTATATTAAATACCATTATTAATTTATTTTGGGTTTACAATGATAGATACGTTTCAATATATGACTCTAAATTGCCTACTCATTGCGCCGTTTTAATTTAATTTTTACGGCGTCATAAAAATATCAATATAGAAAAAAAAAACACAGTTTTTCATTGAGAGTGTTGAGATTTATTAAATTGCTTACATTTTAAAATTCAATTAATTTATTCTGTCATATTTTTTATTATTATTATTTCTATATGAGCCAACATTTTTCCTATTAGATATTATATTATTATATATATATAATATACACAGTTCCGAATTCTTTAGCTTCGTATCTTCCAGATCCGTATTAGTCATCATCAAATCCTCTAGGTCCGTATTATACAACCCCGTTTCTTTCAATGTCGCTAAAACGABCGCCATAGTGGTTTGGTCATTGTTATCGATACTGTTCTGACTATTATGCCGTTAAATGTAACAAAAGACATAGTAATACACAGTGTTATATAACATTAAACAGCAATTGTTTTGTTGTAACGTTATTTAAATAGCATTGTAAAATGAAAATAAAATAAATACGAACGTTGTTTTAACAGATAGCTGATCATTTCAACGGAAACTACATTCTGATGTAATTACTATAGCCAATAATATATCTTATATACGTATTTTAATTTTAATTTTACGAGTAAATTAAACTGTGTCAAATAATCATATACGGAAATGAACTGGGGGATTTACTAATCATGGTYAGTGGTCYCTCCCATTTATATTATATTCGGATGTTAGGGACCCGCAACTAGCCTGTCCAAGAACACTATAATGACAGGTAGAATGAAAAAAAATATTTTGACAAATATTTAAATATATATGTATATAATATTATAATATATAAAGCAATGTGTTAAACTATTTTACTATTACCTAATTGATACGATATAATAAAAGTATCTTCTACTAAATCACAGTTAAAAGTTAAAAATATCTGAGGTTTCCAATTTACCGGGGTTAATTTTTTAACGTAAATATTTAAATTATTAAATTATTAACTTTTTTAAGCAGATATTCATATATCTATATTATTTTAATACAGTTTAAGTATTAATACTTAGTAGGATAAATAGTGGAACATAAAATATATAGTAACCAGATGAGTATTCATGCAGCAATGACAAACCTGAGTTATTGATTTAAAGTAATTGCATTTTAAATATCTTGTAAGTATTTTTTATATCTGTATTTTTAGCATATCATAAATGCATTAAATATTCATACAAAGTAATAACTATTGGATTAATATTATACTCAACAAAGAGTTTTGAAAAGTTTCAAACATTTTGTAGGTCACGAATTATGATTAAAAACTTGAAAATCGTATGAGACATCCATTTTATAATTACAAAATCGTRCCGGTATGATAATAGAAATATATTGTAAATTGAGCATAAATATGCAATCGAGAATTCGAGACGTATTTGTTTTCAATTTTCTCATTATTAATACACTATCGCACTATCGTATCCAGAGAAAATGTGTAGAATATACACTGTGACAATATTATACAGAAATACACGAATATACTTTATTTTGTGGCAGGGATATACCGGGGGACGGGATATGTTGTATGCAACACTACATGCATTTATGTGTATTCTATATCGTACTTACACTTTTGACAATATGATGTTATTATAATATTACACTGTTCTATCTGCATCATGACCTCCAAACTAAAATATGATACCTTATGACCGCAAAATCACATAAATACATGTACGTATGAGCGCAATTTGCCAAATCCAATAAATATTTATTAAAATATAATAGCAATTATAAACTCGAAAATCATTCATTACGATCTTCAATTAAAATTAACAATAMAATAACAATTATGCGCATACGAAAAGAAAGTTTTGAGTTTAATTTTTTTTTTTGGAAATATAATACATAGGTACTTGTGACGAAACTATATAATTATATGTTATTATATGTATATAAGTACCTACATTGAAAAGTCCATGTACGTAACAGGTCCAGTATTCGGCCAYTGCTGCAGCAGTACGTGACACAAAGAAATATCGTTGCATATATACTGTATTTAATAAAGTGTGACTAGTGAAATGAGCAAGAATGAATTAAAAAAAAAATCCGACGACAGTACGCTACAGCAATCGCAGTCAAAAAGGTGGTGGTGATAAATTTCTACGGTTAGTGGTCCGTGACATCCTCCGGTGAGGGAGCGATGGTTAAACGCAAATCAAAGTGGTTTTTAATAAGTTACCTAAAAAATAACAGTTTGAAGTCCGGCAAATGCGTGTTGTGGCCAGTCGTATAGATCTCCAACAGTCGTCACGTCAACATGGCGCGCCGTCTAGACACCGTGCAGTTTTTGGCTGTCGTAAGTTTACGAATGGGATTTATTTACTTTTCATTTTACAAACAGTTTTAATTTTTTCTGGATCTGGATTTACGTGATTTCCATCACAAGAGTGTACAACTGCAGCGTGTTATTATGACTGTGTTTTTTTTTATGTTGGCAGATCGTGATTGTTGTTCAACATTTGATTCATTTGGTCGAATGCGAAAACAAAAGGTAAGGTGTTACAAAAACTAACAGCTCCAAGTTTAACAATAGAATTCTTCCGTTGTYTGTATAATATTAAATAGTTTAATACTAATTATTAAACATTTAAAGATATTATTAAATTTATGACTGTGATCTTTGGTGTTCGACTGTTATTCACCTATATAAAGTAAATGCCTACTCGATACGTACCTATTTTATATTCTTTATTTATTTAGAAAACACATAGATATCATAGTTGAAACAGTTCACATTAGTTAATAATTACAATATAATGAGATATTCAATATAATACACTTCTAGATTGTTATACATAAATGTAGGTATATTGAACATAAGTCTAACTTAAAAATTAATGTGTCAATGATTATTTCAATACATTTTTGCACACAATATTGTTGTTATATCATTATTTTTAAATTATAACAAATACTAATAACATAGGTTTATTTTAAAAGTGTTCATATAAACCTGTAAACTACACATAATTATTGTGTCTTTTAATTGGAAATCATCTATATAATCATACGGAATAAACGAAACTTTAATAACAGTGTATTAAAAATAATTTATAATAATATACTAAAATTCTCAACTACTTATGACCCAGTTGAGAGATGGATTCTGTTTTACGGTATGCAATTTTTATAGTTATACATAGGTAACTTAGGATTTTTTTGAATTTAACTAAATTAAAAATGTGAACACTAATGCTTAAAATAACATACTTATTTCTGATTTTTAATTTTATTCTTATATTATTATACAAAATTCAAACATTTTTCATTATAGTTATATTGATGAGTAATGAAAAAAYGAATAAAATAAATTATAATATCGTTTATCATAAATTCGTTARAACTTTAGGACTTCACTATTTCAATGTTAATTTATTATAGATATTGACGTGCATTAATGATCAATGATGCTTTCAATGAAATAAATCTATTGATTTAATTCCTAAGTTTATCATTAATAAGTAATTTAAATAATTGTTCAAAGAATTGATGACTTTTAAATTATTATGGTGGCTTGACTTCGGAAACGCTCGAGTGTATGTACCGCTCGGTGTTGC